CTTTAAGTGGCTCGTAAAGATCTACTTTGCATGTCGACAAAGGCCCTTTCATGCAAGCTGACTCACCAGCAACAACTTTTAAGACCGTTTGCCAGCGCTCTCAGCTCTTTGCAAACTCGATTTAAAAAAAAGCCACCTTTGTAAATGCTTGGGTCTCCCTCCTGTGAAAGAAATGCGCGCAGAGGAAAGAAGGCCTCCAGGGCATGTGCGTGTGCGTGCTTGTGTCTCGGCCAGATAACCATCTCAAAGGCGGTGAATCAGTGTGCTTAGTCAGACAAAAGAGAGGAAGCGAGGGACCTGAGAAAAAAATATAACTGTACAAAATGAGCAGGCTGGACTTGAGAGTGAGGGGGGCTAGAGAAAGCCTAATTTCAGATGTGTCAGAGTAATGGTGACGTTGAATGCTCCTGAGCTGGGGAAGGCCCAGTGTACACGTTTCAATGACTATCTAGAGATTGAGTGGTAAAATACTGCTCTGCTGCTGCCTGTTTTGTTACTGGGGCAAGCACAACACTTGGTAAGGTCAAGGAAATGTTGTTGGACTTCATTTGGATTGCTCATAACTGAAGGGGTTACGTTAAAGCTGGGGTGTCCAAATATTGTATACAGTTTCCTGTACCTCAAAACTGTTTGCTTCTATCTCTGAAAAAGCTCAAGAAAAACCATGCATCTGGATCAGCGCACTTTGGGCAATCTGGACAGCCCCTGATTCCAATCAGGCCTGCTGTAAGCTGCAGAGAAATGGACAATACCATAGCTCTCAATTGCATGGACTTAATTTGTAATGAATTGGAATGCTGAATCTGGACACTAAAGCTGGAACATGTGATTGAAAGACACGTCACAGAAGAATTCATGACTCGACACAAGACAGAAATTCAGCCAAAAGAAATCAACACGGAGAAGTGGGAGAGACTGTATTCAAACCAATATCTGAGAACCACCCAATCGACTGATGAATTTTTACTGAAGACTGTTGATGAGTTTTATGAAAGATCTGAACATGTTTTATGATGTATTCTGATGTTATCCTGAAGTATTCTGAGTTTGAGTTTTTTTAAGTATAGAGTTATGATGCTATGTTGCTGTTAATCAATCCTGATGATCAGACGTGAATGTGTGACCAAAGGAGGGACTTTGGATATGTTAACACTTTGATGCAACTGTGGTTAAAGCTGAGTTCATCATTAGAACACATGCTGGAGCTCTGGTACTTTTCCACTTGTTCTGGTAATCTCAAGGCCGAAGCTACTGGCATTGTGGCAAATGCTGATTAGACTGCCTATGCTGTTTTATCACATGCATTCTGTGAAACTTTGTTCGTGCCTCGTCTCTACCGTAGACAATAACACATGTCTTCTATCTGTCCGACACAATCCCAGACGTTTGTCATTCTCTTCACACCTTTCAGCCCAACGCATCAAATAGTGACTCACAAGTGTGCATAAGATAAAGGCCTGTGTACACTCGCGCGGCGCTGCTTACGGTTGCGGTTACGTTGGACCTACGTAACCACAGTTTGTGGTACACTTGCGCGTTCCCAGAATGTTGTAATCCCACAACCAACCACGTGATGGCGAACTCACAGGAGTTTAGAAACCAAAGCGGTCCCATTTGTGCTGCTACTTTCTCCTCTTCAGAACAAAAACAATTGCGAAGCTGTTTGAGATCATTACATGTGTTTCTACTGTAGGTTTATGTGACAGTTCTAAACTCATCGTTTCAACTCATTTAACTGTGATGTTGTGAATAAAGACACAGTTCTTGTTGGAAAAATAGTTATTATTAAATTGTATTCAGCACAAACAGCAAAACAATAAGTGGTAAATATCTGAGACAAATATGAACTATTTAAAAGTGCAGGAGGAATGGAACAGACGCGATAAGCTACGAGTGCAGATTCAGACAAAGACAGGAACAGTGCAAAAGAAACAACTGCAGAGTTTAAAAGTTATATATAAGTTAGATATACAACAGAACTGAACAGTCCATAGTATCCGCGTATATCAGGCTCTGCCACGAGCCCAAACTACTTTTCCTTCGGGTTTTTTTTGCCTCGTCCATGCTCCTGCAGCCGCTTCGTGCTTCCTTCCAATAGACACACACACGGACCAATCACAGAGGAGCTTTCTTGCGGCGACCCTTACGTAGTTAGAAATTTTCGAGGGTGCGCGGCAGGGAACGCGCACCCACGCGCATCACGTCACCACCGTAAAGTCCGCGCCGCGCCACTATACACTAGGCTTAAGATGTTTTATCTTAAGATGAAGACCGAATGTTCTTGGTTGATTTGTTTATTTTTAGACAAACACAATTTATTATTAATGGAAAAATAAAGTTAAGTACCCCTACTTTGAGTTTGTACAACATGACATAGATGATGCTAAAGTGATGCTATTCAATAACACCAATGCGGTTTGCTTAAAAACACACAAATCCATGGCTTTCTGCAGTAATTATAGTCTTAATCATGAAATATCTTCACAACATGTTTCAGTCCCAGTAGGATTCAAAAACCTATTTTTTGTTTTCTAAATTTGTTCAATACATCCAATACATACAGTATAATTCTTTGCTACGAGCTAAAAGCAGGACAGGGCCTGATTAGTACTGTGATGGGAGACCTCTGGGAACAGTGTGTGTCACAGTGAGGCGGCTGCGGCTGTAAAGTGCCAAACTGATGTTGTGCCCTTAGGCAAAACACTTCAGCCACATTGCCTAGAATGAGTGGGTGTACGTGAATGATGGGTTGTGTTCAACTGCCGAAGGCACAGATCAGCAGCTCCTTTCTGCCAGTCTGCCCCAGGGCAACTGTAGCTACAGAACCAAATTACCATCACTGTGTAGTGAATGAATATAGCCATGTGAAACGTCTTTGGGTGTCATGAAAAGATCTTTATGTACTATGTATTATTATTATGACAATTCAGCAACAGACTCTGGTTCAAAAACGGATTTCACGTGGTTTTCGAGTTTCTGTTTGTTGCACAATCAGTGCTTTAATGAACTCATTAGCACATTGTCTTGCAGCTTTCTCAAATATTGTAGTGACAGATGGGGTAGAGGGCAATACACATGAAAAGAAATAGACAAACGAGTTCATTTAAAGATGGTTTTGGCGTCTTCACCAAGCTAACCTCAATCCAGCTCTTGGGATCTGCATAAATTGAGGGCTTGGGGAGTTGTGGCAGTATCCTTGGTATTATGCATATTAGTTTAAGGCTGTCACTGAGAATCAGCAAGGGTGTCCATCCCGCTGCGGCTAGGCGCTGCTAATTATTGGATCAGAGATAAAGTGCTTTTTAGCGCCCGCTCTTTCCACGCTTTGAAAAGCCACAGTGGCCACAAAAACCTGGGTGAAAGGAAAAGGCAAAGCAGGCCAATTTTGGGTTCAGAGACAGCCACCGGGTCAGAGATCGATCAAGTGGAAAACCTTTGTCTGGTTTGGGTGATTTCGGCATAAGACCAGATTTGTCACATCTGCCCGACTTTCTGCTGCCGAAAGGGAGCGGAATAACAGGATGCTATAGCTCGCAGGGGAGCGAGAGAAGGAAGATGCAAGAGAGGAAAGATTGAAATATAGAAAATGGAGCTGCCTTTGCCACACAGCAAGAAGCACTAATCCTTCTATGGAGAAAATATAGAGGAGCTGTCAGTTCACCCAGGGCCTGACGTGTCACCAGGATCATATGTGTCTCACGTGTCATAAATAACAACTGGGACTGCCTTTGTTAGGAGGGCATTATAGACAGCCCAAAACCAGCACAAAGCATGAAATGGTATTACGCTGTGGCATCTCATTAGGCTCCTGCACCAAACAAGCTGTTCATTTCTCTTGTGCTTCTCAGAGATGTAGAGACAGACAACATATGTGCTGCATATGGAGCAGAGCGGACCACTCAGTTCTCAAAAACAAAACAAAGAGCGCTTTCAGATGTATTATTTAGTCCACGTTTACAAACCTGGCAGCATGAGCGGTCCGGTTTACAGTAGCCGGCAAAAGTACTACTACAACTCATCACAAGTTTTTTTTAAAACCACAAAAAAGTAACAGACAACTGTGAAGTGAAAGGTAAATGATACTGTACGTGATATATAGGGTTAAGTCAAAATCGTGAAAAGTGGGACGTATGCACACGGCAGACTGAGGTATTCTGGATTATGTCTCTACAAGCACGTCTAGATACAGGAGGTTTTACCCATTCTTCTTTACAAAACAGTTCAAACACAAAGATGGAGAGAGCAGTTTACAGGTCTTTTTTTTGCAGATTTCCAAATAGCATGTCAAATCTTTATATTTGTTGTTGTAAACCTGACAAAATTTGCATTAGTTCAACTTGTAATATTACTTGTGTACAAACCAGTTTTCCGGCACTTCTGCAAAAAAGATCATATATAAGGTAATAAATGCTTGAATCAAGTGGGTTTTTATCTTGAATTTTGTAATTTTGTACTTTTTGTCATAAAACACAATTTGCCAGAAGTATTAGTGTATTTCAAATGCAGTTGCAGTTTTTTACTTATGATATGATTTCAAACATGAACATGTATGTGTGTGCTTTGTCAGTAAAAAAAAGTAAAGTAAAAAAGTAAAAAAAAAAAAAAATACTTTTTCAGGTGAGAATTTCCTTGACATTGTTGCTCACTCAGTGACAAATTTTGTTTTAAGACCGTCAATAGGTACTCAAATTAAGATAAATTCATCATAATTCAAGCAATTATTGACTTATTTAATGTAATTTTTTGCAGTTTGTAGACATGAAACGCACACGCACATGCACAGAGCACAAATCCAAGGCCCATTGTGGTGAGGTCATTGAGCAGACTCAATCCCTCTCCAGGCCTTAGCACCACTGACACAATGACTATGGTGAGGTTAGGGTGGACCTTTTTAGGATTAGTCTGTGAGTACACACTCTTAAGACCGTGTTTAGCACTTTTAACAGACTTGACAGAACGTGAACCAGAGAAGACAGGAAAGGGGGAGAGTTTTCGCTTACCATATTCTCAGATGTACGCCGTTTTCATTCTCTGGCCTGTACCTGCAGAAAATTGCATCTTTTTTAAAATACTTAAAGATCTGGGCGGTAAGTATACGCGTGTTTACTAGATGTTTTTTGTCGTTGCTAATGGATTACATTTGAAGTGCTGAGAGTAGGCTCAAAATGCACAGATAAACAAGGTCAGCAGAAAGACATAATACTACGAAGCAGCAAGCAGACAAATAGAGAAAGCCCAGAATCACTAAGTAGTCTCCTCTAAGGAATGGACAGACTAATCCCAAAGCAGGTATGTCATATGTGGATATGAGGAAGGGGGAAACATGTTACAAACACTGATTGTGTGTAGGTTGGTAATATGGATGTTTCTTTTTGCATGGCGTCAGTATGGGACAAACAGATGGGTCAGGGAAAATGCTGCTTACCCGTCGCCGTTTCCTGCATCTTCTCCCTCTTCCGCTTCTTTTTCTTCCCCTAGAAATATAAAAAGGAACGCATAAAGTGTGGCTCCAGCACTCACGCTCACTAGACCACTCTGATAACCAGCTGCTGGCTGCCATGTTCACTCATCCCCTGCTGGGCATCTAACCAGCAACCTCCGGACACTCCGCGCTCCAGGCCAGAATGCCCCGCTGAGGATCGAACCAGGGGCTGCCCCCTCGCGCAAGTGCTATAATAGAGCATGGGTGTAATTCATTATACACAAGCACCATGTTTTAGGAGAGCATCATAAACAGTTGTAACCGGGATATACAGTCAGGGCCTTCTTTGTGGCCCTAAACATGGGGGGGACAGGGATTTTTTCTGTGGTCCTAAACCTGGTTAAACCTACGGGGAGTCATCTGGATCTATAGGACCTTCTCTGTGGTCCAAAACCTAGGGGACAGGGCCTTGTCTGTGGTTCTGAACCTGGGGGGGGGGGGGGGGAGGGACTGGAAACTTAAAATAAAATAGATTGAATTGGTGTCCGAATACCTCACCACCACTTCCTTTGAAGTCCCCTTAATGACAAACATTAACATTGAGTGAATGTGAAATGTTCAGTGTAATTAGTCTAGCCTGGCTCAATGGCATGAGGAGCACCACTCTTCTCCAGTGCTGGTGGGAGTGGGTGCGGATTTACAGCTCATGCTAAATCCTCAGGGGAGAGACTACAGGTATAGATAGCAGCGCAGACTCTCGTTCTAGTCAAATATGAGCAGCACTTTGGTTTCCTGCTGCAAAGTCTGCTAATCCACTTATTCATGAGCTAATCTCCCTTCCACTGCTGCGGTAGACAGGGAAGAGGAGCGACTGGAGTGGGAGAGGGATTGAAGAGGCTCCACCAGAACTGCCAGGGTCCTATTCTGGTGAGATCCGCTGCTCTGCTGTAGTGAGATGTGTTTGTGGGAGGAGCCTCAGTACTACGTTTGCCTTTATCTTTCCCAGTGCCAAGTAGAACACAATTTGGAGCACATCCCCAGCAGATGTGTAGTGCGAAGCTTAAATGAGGAGAAGCTCTGCAACATGTTAAAATGGTCAAATGTAATTCTGCAGACACTTAACTGTTTATTTTTCATCTGTATCTATTTATTTGTTTTTTCTTATCAATCTATCCTTTTGTAAAGCGTCTTTGAGAGTTAAAAAAGAACATTATAAATATGATATCTATTCTATTGTCATCATTATCATGAGTTGAGTTCATCCTGACTGTCCTAAAAAAATAAATTGCCAATGGGATCATGGACCAAAGAAGGAGTGGATTTCAAGTGTTTATCAATTGTGGAAGAAGTCGATTTGAATTTACGCTAGCTGAAGCCAGTTTTTGTATATGGGCATTTGTTATGATGGGGTGACCTACATGTTGCTAACATGGTTGCTAGGGCAAGCTGGAATTTTTCTCACAAATAAAGGCATCTTACTGATCAAACAATATGGCTCATATGGTCAGGACTACCAGCACTAGAGGATTTTACCTATTGTGGTAGGGGAAACCAGAGCACCCAGAAGAAAGCCACATAGACCCAGGGAGAACATAAGCCCTCTTCGGACTGGGATTCAAACCCAATAACTTCTTGCTGAGAAGGGAGAATGCTAACCACTCAGCCACTATGCTATCCTGTTCAATGTAGCCTACAATTCAAGAAGTTTTGGGCTTATATTTCTGCAGCGCAAGTCCCGGAGAGCAGCCTGGAGGATCCATCTCCATCAGCGAGGCACACGGTCCAGAGCAGGGGAGGCACAAGGAGGAGGGTGCTGTTAGTGTCCCGAGGGGAGCAGATAAACACCACAAAGCACTTTGGTGGTGGAGTGAATGTGAGTGCTGGAGCCACACTTTAAATACAGGCGGGTGCTCTCTTTCTCACAAGTCCATACACAACACATTCTCAACACAGGTATAACAAGACGCAGCAATATATCAGCAGCGATACACACGACAGGCCTCGTCTTAAATCCAGCCAAAGCTCCCACATTTACAAACAGAATGGACAGCGGAGAGAGTAGAGGTGGCAGCTGCTCTTGCATCTGCAGATATGGAACATCAAAGACGGGCATACTATTACCGGCAATTTTCACTCACTGCCAATAATAACGTCCATGTCACTACAATCCATTTTACTCTGCATGGGAATAATAGCCTGTGTTATGAATTACACATTAGCCCAAAACAGAGGCTCTAAAATAGGGGCTTATTAGCATGGAGCAGGCCTGGGTGAGAGATAGTCCCATTATATTCTGGAATAAAAACACTCATTCAAGCACAGGCATACGCAAACGCTGTAAACACACACACTCGCACCTCTGCAGTCCATTCTTTTGGTACTTACATAGTTGTCTCTAGCGGACCAGCCTGGGTACAGTTGCATGTGGAGCTGCCGTTCCTTGCGGGCTAACTCATAATATTTAGCTTGTTCTTCCCGAGATAACGCATGCCACTGCATCAGTATAGGGAGGGAGAAATTGCATAAAGTCAATTGCAGTCACTATGGGTTTTAGTTAGAGAGAGAGAGTGAGAGAGAGAGAGTGTGTGTGTGTATTTTGGGCTAGAGTTATCATATGTGACTTAAAGCTGGGGTAACTTTTTCAGTAAAAAAAAAAAACATACATTGTGTTTTTGCATACTTGGCTGGGTGAGGGTGGTCCTCTCTTTTCCACTTTTCTGTATGAAAAGGCTGATCCAAAGATGTGACAAGAGAGAGAGGCCAAAAACCCATGCACGTCGTAACTAGTGATAGGACCAAACTGTTTTGAGAGCGAGCTGATTGTGGTTTGAAAGTTAGGAACCCCAGCTTTAAACTTGTCCTAGCTTTTCTGTGCAAGAAATGTGTGGAGTCGGATGAAAGCGAAACAAAGAAAGGGGAGAAACATGATGAAGAGATTAGCAAGTACAAGAGAGGGAGGGAGGGAGGAGAGAGAGGGGGAGCAAAAACTTTGATTTCATATCAAAACACTGGTTCCAATTTAGCCAGTCTTTTTATTCAAACTATGTCAGTGAGCAATTACTGTGCGCAGGCCACAAACTAGGCTTTGCTGTGGCTGGCTGCCTCAAACCGCCTGCTCGCTTCGTTAGGGCTCTTAAACATGGCTCTGTGGTTCCACTCTTTCCCCCAATCCTCAAAAGGAACAAATTTTGTCATTTTCAACCGTGCCACTATCCATGCATGTTTTGTTATAGCCAATTTTATTAAAAGTTAGTTAGAAGCGTAGTCTGTGTGACAGCTAATTGGCTGGAGTCATCATTAAGGTCATAATCAAAAGGTGTTCAGAGAAGGAGGTGAATGGAGAGAGTGATTTAATTTAATTGGACTGTGAAAGGTGGCCTGTTGTGATGTTATGATGGCGGGAACCTACCCTCCGTCCCAAGATCTGATTGATGGCCGCGCTTTCTTTTAGCGTGCATTCTGCGACCACGTTGGCGCGCATTTCTTTCATGTATAGCATGAAGGCGTTTAGCGGCTTCTTGATGTGCGGTCTTTTGGGCTCCTGCTCCTTTCTCTGGTCATGCTGAGATTTCCTGCACATGAAAGAAAAGAGCAGCAACATAAGAGTTAACAGAAGAAGTAGCAAATGAGAAAATGGGGAAGATGGAGAAGGGGGTTTGTGGTGCCATGTTGGCGACACACACACACACATAGACGTATCCACATGCATGCACACAAACACATATACAGTACACTTACACATATATACTCGTGCACAGACACATTAAGGTGTACACATTTTGTACACACACGCATATACATGTATACACACGCAACCACACACACACACACACACACAGGGTCTGGTTGCTATTGGCCGATGGAGTAGAAGCACGCCATGGGCTCCAGTCCTGACTCTTTAATCATGTGCAGTTGCAGAGGAGATTACTTCACAAATAATGGCAACCAAACTCGCAGTGGACTCTGCCATTGCACATTGTTGGAACCAATAACGTAATAACAGCCAATAACGTAATACATTTGGCCATTTTCAAATGTGATGTGGCCGATAGCATAACAAAACAATATGTTTTCCTTGTTTTTACAGTTTATCTGAGAGGTTGAATGCCAACTCAAAGTGTTTTAATGTTTTTAACCAGGATTGTGTGAGTAGAAGTCTGTCTCAGATATCCATGAACACTAGTTTTTCCGACGCTTTAACAGGTTAGTTGTTCACATCCCTGACACACCCACAGAAGATTCACAACACAATTCACAATTTCCAGATGGTGAACCACAAACCAGAACAACTATGAGTGGCATAGTGCCCCTTCAAACTGAATATTAAAGGAAACATGACATGATACATTATAATTCAGGCTTTTTAATGACTACTTTTGAAGCCTTACAAAAAATATATGTATTTAAAAAAGGGCACTAGTCTAACTCAGAGTTCTCTAACTCGGGTATAACAACATTAAAATGTGTTAACAGAGTATTGTTAATCAAACAACCCAATGTGTAACCAGTCATCTCTATGAAGATATTCTCCAGAGGCTTCACTGTTTAAAGTGTAAATAAAATCCCACATTCACTGAGCTTCCTAACCCTCTGGACAATGCTCAAATCCAGGTTAAAAAGAGTTCTGTCTGAAGGGAAAGATAGAGGTAGGGTATAAGTTAGGGTTACAGTGGTTCCTTGTTTATCGTGGTTTTTTTTTTTTTTTTAATCCTGCTATAAGCAAAATACGCAAGTATATGATTAAAGGCCGTAAAACCCGTCACAACATACTTTATACACTTCTCCAGACCACCAGAACTCAGACAGCTAAAGTGTGATCGCGGAGATATCAAAGTTGTTAGTTGCAAGTCTCAGTGCTGCTGCAGCTGTGAAGCCGTGAGTAGAATATATTGTTGCAGAGGACATTGCGCTGAGGGACAGGAGCAGGACTGCTGTAGTCCTCTGAACTAGACACTGCAGGGCACACAAGCCATAAAAGTTTTCTTCTGACTTTAAATAAACTGTCATGTTATACTAGCGGTTATAAGATGATGTATATGATGTTGTTAAGTATACATGTCGGAGTACATGTAAGAAAGTACTCAAAATTGCACCCAAAAAAATCAATGAAACAGCAAGGCCGCAAAAGCTGAACCGCGTTGCAGTGAGGGACCACTGTTACTACATTGGTTCCTACACACCTCTAACCTACTTTCTAACAACTTGTGTGGATATGCAGAGAGGAGATGAACTGAAATCAGAGATAACCACTATTCGCAGTGCTCCGTACACATACTTGAAGAGCAGCTCATCCCAGCAATAATCTAAAGTGTTTATCTGGGGCTGGCTGAGTGTGCAGTGCTCCCTGAGGCCAAATGAGGCGCAGGGCCCTTATCAGCTCCGTGCGGGCCCTCGCTCTTATCTCCTGCATCGGGGAACAGGCCTCCGACAGAGTGGACTTTCCTCCACTGGGGCCTGTAGTGGCACTGGGAGTATGCAGCTGTGAAGAAGCAGCACTTACATGTGCATGAGGTCCGTTTCGTGGGGAGGTTCGTGTTTAATCTGTGGGTTGACAATGGCCGGGTGGGGGATCCCTGTGGCTTGAGGACCAGGGGGGCCGGGGACCATGTGGTGAGAGAACCTAGGAGCCAAAGCAGACAACACAAGCTTTGATTAGACACCATGGAGGAATGGTAAACAATAAGTTCTGTCGTGGTCTATAGTACATAGGCCGAGTTCATCAATTATTTAAAAAAGACCATGAAAGACCTGGTCAGCAAGTGTATTTATCTATTTTTCTTTTTCTAAATAATGCTTCATACTGACATAACTATCATGTACAGCACGGCTTTTCAATTTGTTTTCCCCAAGGAACGAATGTTTGGAATGGCCACTTGCTCTGGACCACTTTGAACATTTAACAGCAACATTATCAAACACAATATTTCATTCTGTTACAATTGACATTTTTGTGGCAAATAAAGGCCGAAGCAGTACAATTGTTGAACAGGGCGAGTACCAGTCAGATATAAACAAAGACTTATCCAGACTTAAACCACAATGAATGATATAATTATAAACACAACAAATGACCACAAAAAGGAGCTACTATATTCATACTGTACTTGAAATAACCATTGGAAAATCTTTGATTTGATCACTTGTTACATGGGCTGAGGGCCAGATTAGATTTTTCAAATGGCCTGGTTTGGCCCCCGTCCGCATGTTGAATACGTCTGATGTACAGTAAGTAATAAGTCGACTATAACATATTTATAACATCCCATTAGCATAACTACCACCAGTAAGACTTACTGGAGGAGAACAGTTAAAAAGTTTGTTTAATAGCATAATAAAAAATGATATTTCACAATAAGCTGCAGGTGTGAGCATGGGCGGTTATAACCATTGCTCGTCTTCAAAAGGTTTCATTCTCTCTTCTTAGTTTGAAAAGAAAGTGACATTCCCTTGAAAGCTGGTGTACCCACTGCTATTTTTGTTTGTTTCATAAATAATACTGTTAATGCTGTTTCTCCCAACTGTAAGAGTATAATTCAAATTCTAAACTTGAATTTTGTTTAAACAAATCGTAGAAAATATGTTATCTTTTCCACGCTTGTAAGAAAGCCCTGTTAGTCGCTATTTGCCGCTTTGGGCTGAGAAGTGATTGGCTGGGGGAGGGGGTCCCCTCTTTTTTACATTTCTATTTGAAAAAGCCGATCTAAAGATGTGACAGCTAAAAATGTAAGGTTTTAATGTGCAAACTAGTTATAAATGCAAACTGCTTTGAGGGCAAGGAACGAATTAGATTGATTTATCTACATTGTTTTTCTGTGTGAAAGTTAGGTACCCCAGGTTTAAGGCTATTCAAAATGCCACATTTTTGTGTCTGTCTCAACAACAAAACAAAGGAGTTGAGATTCTACACAGCATCCCATCCATTTTGAATAGAGGATATACACAACTGCTTATAGAATATTTAAACAAGACGTTTTTTTGGTGAATGTTGTTCCTATACAGTATCCAGCTGTGTCTTTTGAATCTCAATTTATCAGCCTCTCTCCTTTGAAAATGTTGTCGGAAACAAGACCACATCTCAATGGCATCCCAGAACACTTAAAGATTCCGAATAAAAAGTTGTGAAGCCTTCCGCTGAGGGTTCGCCAAACTGAGATGGGATTTTCTAATGTTTGAGACTACACTACAGCTCATCACTTTGTATGTTTGTTTAAATGGGCACCTCATCAGACTCTAGTTTCCATTCATCGGCTAATGCTATTCTCAACAAAATACAGCTTTAAACTTTGGGATCAAGTCCAACAGAAAGCAGCAGCAGTGAAACACCCCTCAGACAGAACGAGTGACTGGAGAAGTGTTTCCAGAGAGAGCTTTGATGGGGCTAAAAACCATATGTGTATGCAGGGACACGTATGTGCTGCTCTTCCAGCTGAGGGAGCCGTGTGGAACTCACCAGCCCAGAGGAGGTGTGATCTGACCCATGCCTCCAGGAGACAGGGAGTAGAAGTTTGGCATGTCTGGTCCTGGGTGATGTCTGGGCATTCCTGCAAACACAAGATCACACAGTTACACTGCTGCTTTTTCAGGCACACTCATAGAGGTTAGACGGACCATATTTGAGCTACTCTGTATATTTCATTATAGATAGTGAAAGTTTAAAGCATCAAATTCCATTCTAATCAGAAATGCATACTTCTGAGAATCACGCACTGAGAATTCTGTGATCAGAGCGATGAGTGGGACTGTTGTTGGTCTTTATAACTCGGCACACAGGCACCATTTATAGACTGCACCGATTTAAAAAGGCTTTTTAAGTCAGTCAGTCAAGCATATACAAGTATTTAATCCAAGTACATAAGCAATCACAACTATCTGTTTGTTTGGATTAAAGGAGAGGGACATGATGATCTGACTTTCTTATTCTGCGTTCTGCAAAGGCGTCCTCAGCCTTATTCAATCTACAGAACAGTAATAAGATCACATCATGTGATACCACTTTGACCTTTTAACTATCGTCTACATCTAAATAAGACTATGTTTCTCACACTTTCAGCAGAGGCGGTTTCATTGTGGCAAAAGCTTTCCCATAGACAACACATTATTTTTGGAGGGTACATCTTCTGCACAAAGCTTTGGTTGTGGTGAGACATGATTTCAAATATTATCTCTGGTATTGTCATTCAATAAGCAATTGAGTAATGATGTAAGGTTTACAGATATCCACAAATTCACAGGATTTGGAAATATCTTTTAGCGTGCGCTCTCAATCACATGCACACAAAGCAAACAGGGCAAATGCCGCCAGATTAGCCCCATGCTCTAATCCCTGTCGGAGCCAGCCTCTGTCCCGCTCCTTTGCCTCTCTCACTGGGCTGCGGTCTAAAGGGCCTCCCTCCTCTCAAAGCCAGGCCATGCAGGGGGCTTATATCTCCAAAGCCAATGTTGCAATGTAGGATTCACAGCATAACGTACTACCCCCTGCCCACTAATCCAGCCCGCGCACTCCTCAGGGCCCTCCTGGGGACACGAGGGAAGGAGGCGAAAGGGTGAGGAGGCGAGGGAGGAGGAGAGGCCCCAGCGTGTTAACCTTGTCACTCAGAACCCTGAGGTGTTCTTATTTACATCTTCCCATAGGCAAAAAAGGTTACCACTCAACCATGCTGCAGCAACACATTATTAGCAACATTATCTAAAGAAAGTACAAGTAAATCACAGCCCTTTGCCACAAATGAACAAATACAATATAAAGTCCATTGTTTCAAATGCAAGACCCCCTGCCTGACCTTCTGTGGCGTGTTGCGGCCCTGTGCATATTAGAGCTCCTAATGAGAAAATCCATGATTATTTTTCATAATTAACCAGCAGATCAAAGTCTGAGCCCGCTAAGGAAGGAAAAGCTGCCATTGGTCGATGCCAGAGCGCGAGAGAGAGAGAGAAAGAGAGGTAGGGGGTGGGTAAGAAAGAGAATAAGTGAAGATTTGGTTTTAAGCATCTTCAGCTTAACTCTGCTCGCTGCACACACAGGAACACGCCTGGGGAAATCATTTACACTTCATTCTGCAACCAGATCCTTTGGACATGGATTTTTTGGGGCTGCTGGTGCTTAGCCCATTGCGGAAAAGCCTCCTCTAGAGGCGCTCCATAGTCAGACTTATGTACAATCACAGTTGAAGCAGCCTTTACCTGCTCTTATGACATACAAGCTTTGATTATGATCCTGCGGTGTTACAGACAACACAAATAAAAGAGGACCATTCTGCTCTCTGATGTGGAATTGTATTGTAATTATTAAAAATAAATAATTACTATAACCCTTCAAACTTGTTTAACTAACATCGATCTTTTACATACTGAGTAAGGGCTGGTCCGGTCTTTTTCACTGCAAAAGTTGATCTGAAGATGTGATAGAGGCTAATGGTGCTTTCAGACCGGATCATGCGTTGCGTCAGCTTTCAATGCAAAGTCTATGGTGACGCGCGTTGGAGCGTCAAAACGCACAAACGGACTGTTGAGTGTAGACGCATGGACTGCGTGGGAAAATCGAAGAGGAGGAGCAGGAGCGCAAAATGGACGCCCACAGGAGATAAACTTTGCTCGACCCTTCCTTGGGACGTTTGTGCAGCGACCAATCAGAGAGCCGCAAAGTGGTCATGGGGACATTACTGGTCTGAGCGAGCAGACTGAACATACTGTAGCAACAGCCAAAACAGGAGCTACACCTCGGGAGCGTTGTCATGCTCCCGTGACTTTATGCAACTGCTTCGAGTGTGTTGGCCGATGCGGAAGTACCGTTTAATAATAAAGTAAACTTATTGCGCACCTTCGTGAACACATACTACTGTTAAATAAAGTCCGGGGAAGGTCTCTGAACACAGACACCCTGCCAAGCTGCATTATTGGAGAAGATCTTTACACGAGAATCCGCTAGCATAACTCTGTTAGCATCAGAGCCCGCCGGCTACTTCCGCCACTTCCGGTGCTGGCCAGGACGTTCTGGTGTGAAATCCCTGCGTCTGGAACCTAGAGAATGCGCGTCTGGTGAGCGAGGCTTCAGGGTTTGAGCGTTTGCGGTATGAAAGCACCATTAAAGATACATAATTGTGGAAACAGTTTTGAAAGCATGGAAAACGTAAAAGGAATTTATTATGTGGTTACACAATGTTTTGTGTTGCATTTGATAAAATTCATTTTTACAAAACCATATTGAATTGAGTAAAAAATCATAACGGCAGACCCTGAAACCCTAGCAATAACTTATCAATGCGATTTTAATTAGTAGGCTTTACCTTGTTACTTGTTCTACATGACAACCAAATCCACAATTGAGGTTTCTGCAGTGTATTACCCACTCCACTCCTTGTCTACAACACAACGCCTTCACTGGAGAAACATCCATCTCTGAGTGTCTTTTATATTTGATTTTGCTTGACATATGTGGAGCACTTTCTTCACATGCTCCACTCCCTTCATCTGACAGGCTGTGTACTCTGCTTCTCTGTTCTGCAATTTTATTTTTATCTGCTCCAGTCTCATCTTCATCATAACTACAAACCATCTGATCCCTCTTCGCTTTGACTTTTTGAGAAGAAGTAGAAGAGGAAGAAGAAAGAGAAGATGCGAGACAGAAGCACACAGAATGGGCGTATATTTAACATTAGCAGGGAGCTGCCAGAGCACCCAGCTGTGCAGCCCGTCCTTGCGCCTCTCTCGCTGCAGCTGTCAGACTAGGGAGAGATTTTATTTTAGCTATTAGTGAGCGAGTGAGGAACCATGAATGCACCCAAAGTGTCCCAAAGGCAGCTTAAAAAGAGTTCAGGCACCAGGCAGAGCGAGAAAAGAACGCCACTTCCGCGCGCTGGGATTTTTTCTATTCCACAGTGCGGCAGAGGCTGTGATGCACTCTGCTATCTGCAAGAGAATTCTTTGGAATTTGTGATTATTTTATCAAATTAATTAGTTAGCCAATTTTTTCCTCAATTCTTTGGATCGTGGTTTAGATCCCGAAAGCTTAGTGAATATCAGAATGAGTCTGGTGTGTGCGTGAATGGTTGGTGGTGGGGCATATTTTATACTGGTTGTCTCGCTTCTGTCAGTGTGCCCCAGGGCAGCTGTGGCTACAGTAGCAGTTTATCACCACCGTGTATGGAATGAATGAATAATGAAATGTGAAGCATCTTTGAGTGTCCAAATTTTTGGCTAAAAAAATCTGTGTTTTAGTACTCTCTATGATCCTGCTGTATATTTTTTTTGATATTGTCTTTGGAAATCCAGACATGAGCCATTGACGAATAAGATACCTTTATTTGTGGGGGATATTCAAGCTTGCGGCACAGAAGAAATGGCCAAATAAGGAAACTGGCTTCAGCTAGCTTATATTCAAATCTGTTTCTTCCACATAAAGCCTAACGCTATGGTGATGTCAGCACTCAATTAGTCCACTAATTGAGATTTTTCCCACGGTGGGACATTCTCTTATTTTATCTTAATATACAGTCTATTTTCTTCTGCGTTATAGAATCATCTGAGTCTGAGATTAGCTGGATAGTGTGAACTTGTGTTGGCATGATCAGCGCAAACTTTTTACAGTCATCAATAATATTTGTGTGGATTATAATACGACATGTGAATTCTTTGAGCACTAAAAATAGATTAACTTGTATATGTATAACATACTGGCTGAGATGGAAGCAGTGACTTCTATAGATGTGAAAAAAATGTGCTAAAATCTATGAAATTTCAGCTGAATACAAATGTCTCACAAGACAATCTACCAATTGGCAGATGTCAACATCAGTCGTTCCCCAATTATGATCATGTTAAAAAAACAATTGCAGAGATATTTGACAAAAGCCCATTTTAATTACACAATTGCTTGAGAATGTCTCTACAGCTGCAACTTGTGACTAAACGAAATTCAGACATGGGGACATCCACTAATATAACATTGAAGGAGAAAGCACTTGACAAAACTGATGCAAGTCAATCAAACATATTCAGAGCATAAATTGTTGTCTGAGTTTACCTTTGTTGTTGACATCTTGATGGTGACCGGAATGGGGGCCTGGGGCAAAGTGCTCGTCGCTGTAGGTGATCAGTGGTGTGAGCGGATGGACTGCATGGGACGGCTGCACCACTGGGACTTTGTTGGACTGTAAGAAGGAAAGAAAAACAGTTAGCATTAGTACTAGCATCTGCTTGAGCTACATGAGTTATTATGCAGAATGTAGGAACCGGTGCCACACTGTCTGAAGTGAAATGTTTGCTTGTAAACATCTCAATACTGTGGTAAATAGGTTGCGTTCATGTGACATCACAACATCCCATAAAGTCTATAGTTTAATCTTGTACGAAGGCTGTTAAAAGGTCTGTCCCTGGTAACTACGGCAACTGTCAAAAGTCAAACTTCTAATAGTAGTTCATTGCTGATTTCTCCTGGGCCAATCCACACAAAACAAAAACTTCCAAAAAATTCCACATCTTCTTAGTCAAACACATATCAACTATGGTCTAATTATTTTCGCATATAGACTTCTAAAAATGTTGACAATATTAAAAAGAAATATATTTGCCAGGAGAAAGGACTACCAGACATAAGCATAACATGACAAGTTTGTGAATCTAATACGCGAAAATAATTGGACATTGCATATGTCTTTAGAAAGTGGTTTCCTCCCCAATGGAGTTGTTGGCACATGCCCTATAAGTGAAATAGAATTATAGAACACGAACGCTACCTATAAGAAAACAAATGAAATGTAGTGTTTACATTTAATCAAAGCCTGAGAACTTGCTTAGATCGGCACAAATGGAAAACTGTCCTCTAAAAGCGAAGAAAAAAAGCAGGCGCGCACACACACACTCACACGAGAAAGCGGAGAGGGAGAGGCTGGTAGAGCAGGGGTCTTAGGCACGAGATCAAAGGCAGTCATTAGCTGGTGAATAAGGGGAGTTCATTACAGAGCAAGAGTCGGGGGAAGGAGAGATGAGGGATGGTGGTGGAGGAAGAGCAGACAGATATCGGCAGCACTACTTAATGCACAACACATCAACAATGACCAGGCTACTGCTCCCACCCCAAATATCTAAAAGAGTGACAAATAGAGGACTGGCAGCAGGCGGCAGAAAGCTCACATGCTTCAGTCGTGTGGGTTTGTTAAGTCATGCAAAATATCCTGCAGTTGCGGCAGGTGACATTCCAGTGTTAAAGTTATGTCGGTTCCCCTTAAACTGGACACATAGTGCCTGGAATGTTTTGCTGAGCCTCGCACAGACTGGCACCGCTTTCTCCAATCAATCCCCAACCTACCTTCTGGGAACAAGCAGTGAACGAGACGTGTTGTTTGGTTGTACAAAAACAACTCCTGCTAAAAACATTTTAGATGTTCAACACTAGGTGATCAGAGTTCTGTAATGCATGTCATCAATGGATGGAATCTTCTGGACCATCACACTTCATGGTTACACTTTCCCCAAAGGAGAGGAGCCTAGGCCTTGGGACATGCTAGTTTGGGGGCAAAAGACTAAGCTTGCATCAACGCTCGCCAACTGCGTAGAGCAGATGCTCGCCAGTATTTTTAAAAGTGGAGAGAGCTGCCCCCTGACACTAAAGTTCATGTGTAATAATGTAAAATTGGAAAAAGTAATTCCAGAAGTGGTGTTTTTTTTGGGGCCCAATCACTGCCCTCTTGCTACTCGGATCTTCATTTATAAAGTGATTGTTTCCCAAAAACATCCCATTTTAAAAGTTACTTTGAAGATTTAAGCTTATTGATGATGTAAACAAACTTTGGCTTGAGATAACCATTGAGATATTTCTGGTTCTTGGACGAGGGGACTTGTAAACATGGACACTTCACAGCACACGGAAAGTTCCTGTGTTAAAAGTGACACAAACCATTTCCTGAAGGCAACAGAACAATGAACTGAACAATGAGAAAGCATTAGCTTATCAATCTCAACCCCAAGCACAGAAACAGCACAACTATTCATGAGGCCATATTAGAGCCTATGTATTTCCTATTCATATATTATAGTAGAACGAAAATGGAGAGGCAGAGCAGATTGAATTGAAAACGTTCCATTTGGAATTTTATATCCAGGCTTGGCCAGCCCTTTTAAAGAACCTCTCAGATGTGGTTTTAAGAGAAATTCATTGTGTGGAACTGCAGCTGGCAGGGAGCCCTTCATGGAGGAGACACTCCAGTGTTTGAACATAGTAACTTGGCACTGCATCCGCAGTGGGCATGGGAGACAGATAAACCATACAGTGTTTTTTTCAACATGCCACTGTAGATTGTATCCTGAAAATTTGTACCAACATTCTTCAGTCTTCATACACTATATTTGATGGTTTTATATAAACCATTGGCTTTGAGTTTCCCTCCCCCTTCACAGCACGCCTTTTGTACTCCACTCAATTATACCACTTCTGCCAAGTGGAAAAGGGAAAAAGAGGAAAGCGAGAATTTTATAATAATCACTTCCCACTTGTGTAATTTATATGCAATGAGGGCTGTGTGTGCCTGCAGCTACAATCCAGCACACACAAACCATGTAAGGTGATTCACAAACAGCTGGGGAGACACAAGCTCAAGTGGTGGCGATGGATTCCCATGCTGCTTAATCTTCTCTCCAAGAAGCCCTTTTCACCTTTCTCCTCTATAAGCCAACCTCATGCAGTTCTGCTCTTTGTTCTCTGTCTGGACAGAAGAGAACTCTTTACATACTTCATCATTTAGTTTTGGTGTGTTTCTACAAACTATAAAGACAGTGCTGGATTAAGCCATTAAAGGAGTGTCCAATGTTGAACTGCACAGATTCATGCTTCCACCAGGTGTTCTCTCTCAGGTGTGTTCAAGAGCAGCTTTCCCAAACATGAGTAAACACCGACCATTGTGTCTGTACAGAGCTTTATGCAACACAAGCGATGTGTCTCCCTCCATTTACTCCAAAACCAGAAGACAACCTGAGGAAGCTTAAATAAATAACCAATTAGCATTTGCAGAAAGGTTTGCACCCCACCAGCTTGGAGTGGCAAGCTAAAAATGGAATGTTTTATTGGCAGAATGGCCCCTTGGCCAGGGGGCTTAATGTAACGAAACCCAATTAATGGAGAAGAAAGCCAAGCCGGCAGCAAGCGGGGCAGCGCCACGCGCCTGGGGTAATGAGACGAACAAGCGGAGCCAACCACAGGGACTGAAGTGAAGAAGGCTTTGAATAACAGGAAAGCCTGCCCTGGAGAGAAATGTACATCTGTGGAGAGGAATCTCTCTCCTTTAATTCAATCATAAACACTGCATTGGACCAGAGTCCACACGTTTTAGGGACCAGAGTACAGTGTCCATTTGTTTAGGAGTTTTTGTCACTTATAGCAAAAGTCTGCTTCCTAAATATAATTTGCTCAAAATCATTACGTAAAAGCCTATATCAAAAAAGGTGGTGTGCTACAAATAATAGAAGAGAAATATTAACAGCCAGATGCCCTCTTTCCCGGGAACCTCGGCACAACAACAAGGTGGATTTGGAATCATCCTTCTGTTGGCATGAAATGTGTGTGCTTGGAGCAACCCGATCATGTTAACTTTGTAACAGACATTCTGAACATGAAGCTGATAATATGTGTGAAATGTACTTGCCCTGGAGAAAAGACTTTTATCCGCTTTTAAATGCTCAGGTTTTAATTTTGATCTGCCTTATTGCTATTAAAGTGGAATAATATAGTGTGGGAAAACAATGATACATTTTCTATTTTTCTTTGTAAACACTATTATTTCAGACTTTACATACATGAACCAATTATCCAGACGAACCCAAGCCTGAGCAGCTGTCATATGAGAGCACTGCAGTAGTGACTAGCTTGTGCGACAGTGGCCTGAGGACTGTGCGTGTGCATTGTGCTGCGCTGGGGGCAGGGCCGAGGCTCTGGCTCGGCCCAGGGCCCTGGGCGGTCGGCAGGATGTTCACCTTGTGGCGGGGCATGGGGCTCATTATCACAGCATGACCTGGTCACATCAAAGGCTGAGGAAAGGGCAAACATTCTGCTGAAGTGCCACGGTCAGCAGGCCTCAACGCAAACACAGCACACAACAGGACGGCCACACTCCTTAAGACCCGCCAGGCTTTTACACCCCTACAGGAGCTAACGCCATCATCACTTTCACTCTGCACATGGACCACAAATTCTTAAAAAGCATTGCATGGGCGTACGTTTCAGTACATTATACATTTGAACTGGAAATAACTGAACTTTAGTTGAGGGAGTGGACTGATTAAATTATGTTATTTTAAAAGCTTTGAATAGTTGCTTGTTCTTCCCATGCCTAACAGAAAAAAATGAAATTGAATGTAACAATGATTGTACCTCTGAAAATAGCAATTACAGTATATAAGTATGGCCAGTGTATATGTATACCACAATTTGTAAACAAGAACATTCAGAGTGCATATAATAATAGTAATACTTATGTTGCTTCAATCTAAACCTTTCCCCAACTTGTTCCAGCCACCCGGCTCGCTGCTGCATGGACAGCGGATCATTTATCATTACCAGCAGCATGCGCTGCTTAGTGCCTGCAAGCTCTTCATGCCAGACAACCTGTCCATGCCAACATCTGCATCAGGAAAAAGGCGCAAAGATCATGGGCACAAATGAAACTGCTACACAAGCTAACTGTGCTGCTAGAGCGCTGAAACCTAGCCTCTTCACAACGTTTCAATCTGAAAGAAAAGGCTGCTACGGAGCGGAGAAAAACTGCTGAGGAGTTGCCTCATGCAGAAGCTTGAGATTCGTTGAACAAGAGCGGATTTGCCTGCTACACCTAGATAGTGTTCCCCTCAGCTTTCAGCCAGGTATTCTGGGCATGAATGGCTGTCAGTTTGGATTTGGGAGCTCAGCGCTGAAGGGAAAATAGAGTCTAGTGGGGGTCTTTGTGTGCTTCTACCTGTGGAGATGGCAGCTCCAGACAGCACTAGCCTCACTAAGACCTGGTTACGTGTTTTGTGAGGTTTGTTTTTAGCATGACATGCTAGCCAGCGGAATGTAGACGACGACAGAAGACAGACTCATGTTAGTGCTGCTGCATGAGGATGGGGAAGGGAGGTGAATGAGATGTGCAGTGCAGTATTGACCTACTTTTCCTCCTGTATGAGA